TCGGAAAGTCGTCAGAATATTACGACAGTTTATATCCGTCGGAAATCCGTCGGTTAATTCCGTCGAAAATCCGTCGGTTTTATCTACCGTCAGTATTCCGTCGGAATTAACCGACGGATTTCCGACGGTTTACATTTGGTCGCAATTTCGTCGGTAAACCGTCGGAATTTTCGTCGGAAATCCAGCTGTTTTCTTGTAGTGAAAGTCTTCTGATGATATTGGATGGCACGAAATGGACCAATATGTTAACTCCACTATTAGCTCCTTACCTCTTTAGCAGTCTTCCTTTAGTTATTGTTTTCAAGTTCTTGAGGTAACAATCAATAAACATGAAAGGAAAAAAAAATTGTTGTTATTCTCGAATATGTAACAATGATTTGGTTGACATTTAAATTGTATTTGTAGGAGAGAGTTTGGGAAATGGATTTCTCTCCTCACAGTTGTTCTAAAGCTATTTGTAAAGTAAGAGAATATGTTTTTTTCTTTATCATCGACGGCTATACAAACGTATCTATCAAGAACACAAAACCCTAAAGTTACTTGATGACCAAGCTAATATAAATACGGCCCAATACATATCAAGCCCAACCCAGTTGATATGAGTTTTTACAAAAATAACAAGAGTTTTTTCTCTCACAACCCCTCTTCATTTTCTTTCATATTTTTTATTTTATTTTTTTGCTAGAAACCCATAAAAAAACTCTCCATTAGAGATACTCTCTAACAATTAAATCGTATGGCTAGTGGAATAAATTTGAAAACATTTTCTGTTAAATGGCTAAAATAGATGCTGTTCAAGTTTCCTCCAACTCGAAAATCAAAGTTTGGGGGATTTGATTCCACTTAATTACACATATTAATCTGATCATTTAAAATAATTTTCTACAAACAAATATTAAATTTATCTTTGATTTCCAGGTTGGTGTCTTTCTACAGATTGCTTAGACAGCTTTGCTTGTTCCACATATATGCAGCAAAAGGTCATTATACTATTTACGCTTTAGGTTATACGTGAATCATGTTTAATTATTCCAAAGTTAAGAGCTTTGACTAATATTCCGGATCTCATTCCTCGCACACGCACGTGATTTAACCAAAGATATTTGAGTTGGAAATTGAAGTCGCGCATTCCCTTTTTAAATATCGAGTAAAGTGAAAAGATATTGTAAATTCTTAGGTTTCGCTTTTAATCAAATCTTGATCTTATAACAATATCGAACAAGCGAAAAAAAAAGAGAGAAAAAACACTTCATAGTAACATAATGCATTTAGTAAAACACAACTAGAATTTGCATTCTATCATTCAGATTATTATTATCATATGGATAAATGTGTATGTGAAGATCATCATTATAAATGGGAAAATTGATGAAAAATACCTCCTCCGTTACATATTTAGTGGTTTATTTTAGGCAAAATATTTGTTTTATTTTTAGTGATATTTTCAATGTAATTCGTATAAAACACACACACACACAAGAAGTGTTTAAAAAGTGTGTTCTGCATAGTAGCTAACAACACAAAAAACAATTTTTTTTTTTTGAAACTTAACACTCGAAAGTTGAGAAAATTATCTTATGATATCAGCAATTTCTTTCAAGCTTCGTTCAGAAAGCCACATTTTTAAAAATCAAAATGCGCAATATTTACGTAACGTTTTTAGGCATTGCTTTAAAACTTCGTTTCCGATTTTTGTGCTAGCGATTTAGCATTGTATACGCTTTGAAGTTTCTGTTTACTTCATTCAAACGTGTTGAGCTTTAAATGATGTCTATTTTTATGAAAATACATATGTCAAACTGTTACCAACTGGATTTCTTTTTGCAGTTTCCCGCTGTAATTGTAATCTTTGAATTTGTCCCAAAAAACAATTGTCTACAAATTTTGAATTCCAAATAACATAAATTAGTTAGTCAATAAAATTAACAACCGGTTTAATATTTATAAATTTTTACTTTATGGGGGTGAGAGAATGTATCGTCCCTGAATTTAAACCACACACAACAACAACAAAAATGTATCGTCCATGAAGCTTCTTACAAAAGCGTAATGCATGTGACGTTCTCTTTCTTCTATTTCATGCAAAATTTTACGAGTAAAAAAGCAAAAACGTATGTTATTGACATTTTGCAACATATTTCGCTTCCCTTTTAACGCCTGAACCAGACAAACAAAATATAAAACTTTAGTGTAACGCGTGACATGTTTGATGCTTGAGCAAAGCATTGGGAAAAAAGAAGGAAAAAGAGAATAGCTGGAAAAACAATCACTCAAATGCAAAAAGATCGAGAACGAAAACAAAAAAGGCCCAGCCCAATCGTTGCTCTCTCCCAAAGCAAGAGTCGCCCTAGCGTCCTCAACACGGTTACGTTCCGATCTCCCTCTCCCGTGGCCGGTTTTTCTCACCACCACCGTGAGAGGAAACCCCTTTGTCTATTTGTTTCATCTCGGTCACTAGTTCTTCGAGATCTTTAGGCGTTTGATGTAGATCTGGTCCGATACGCTGGTCTTGGATAGTGTTGCCGGAACCTTTTCTAGTTAGAATTCGCCAGAACTGTAGCTCGTTTTTGTTGCTTGTTGCCTCTCTCACCACTCCCTTCATCTCTTGCTAGAGAATGTTGTCTCTCGTTGGGTGTGGTTAAGAGGTTTCGTCAAGTCTTAGTGGGTCTTCGTCGCCGGTTCACTGGTTTCGTCGCCGGCTTCCTGGTTAGTTCTATCTCGGGTCGCGAGTCCTTGGTTCTGTGAGGGTTGATGGTCTTGTCTCTGGTTCAGCTCAGCTCGAGGACGGTTGTCCAGGTCTTCGACATTGCTACTTCTCCTCTTTTATTCCTTGGCTTGTCTTCCCGTCGTAGCATGCCTGAAGCTACTCTTATTAGCACTCTTCCTGATTTTACATCTGTCTCTCGGAATCTGGTTTGTTAGGAGTCTTCGTGTGCTTCTACGGAGTTGATTTCTAGCGTCCGAGTTGTGAGACTCGTTTCGGAGGAGGTGTGTTGCTTCAGCGTAATCCTTTGGTCAAGGCTCTGGTTGAAAATCCAAACATGGCTACTGTTTCTCTTTGTGGTGATTATGGGTGGCTGTCCGATTGGAGATTTGTTGTTCTTGCTCGCGGTGGGTTGGAGAAGTGGCGCTTCTCTAGTTTGGCTTTTCGGTTGGCTTCCATCGACGATGACATTTTAGGTGGTGGGCCGTCCTGGTGCAGAGTTTGAGGTGAGCGCTCTCGATAGCAGCGGGTGGTGGTAACTGTCAGTGGTGAGGCTCTCTGCATCGTGGAGTTCAGAGCTCTGCGGCAAGGTGTTTGCTTAGTTCTCTCTTCATGTTGTCTTCGGTGTGGCTCATATGTTTCGTCGATGTGTGTTTTCTTTTCTAGCTTTGTTCAACGGTTCATGGAGCAGCTCAAAATTTTGGTCAAGGATGGCTATATTTTAAGCTCTAGTGGTGATTCGATGTTAAATAGAGGCAGCACATATGTCTCGACGACTATTACACTTCTATGGGAGATGATTCCCGTAGCTTACACAAGTTCGGAAATCGCGATCATAAGTGGTTCTCTGGCTGCCCATAAGGCTCCCGTGCCGCACGGTTGTGGAATGGGCTATTGGAATAG